CGCGCTGGCGCTGCTGGCGCTGGCCCTGTGCGCGCCCGGGGCCCGGGGCCGGGCGTTCGAGTGGTACGCCGCCGTGGTGAGTACCGAGTACGTGGACCGGCAGACCAACCAGACGGTGTGGAGCGTCTCAGAGAGCGGCCGGTTCGGCGACAGCTCGCCCAAGGAGAGAGCGCAGGGCCTCGTGGGCGTCCCGCTTGGGGCCGACCTGGAGGGCTGCGCGCCAGACACTCGCTTCCTCGTGCCCGCGCCCGGCGGCGGAGGCGCGCCCTGGGTCGCCCTAGTGGCGCGCGGGGGCTGCACCTTCAAGGATAAGGTGCTGGTGGCTGCGCGGAGGAACGCTTCGGCGGTGGTTCTCTACAACGAGGAGCGCCACGGGAACCTCACGGGACCCATGTCCCACGCGGGTGAGCCGGGCGGCGGAGCGCGGAGAGGTGGCGGCGGGGGGAGGGGGCGGCCGCTGCACCGCAGTCATGGCCGACAGCCTTCTGGTGCGCAGACTGGAGCCGGAGGGCCAGACCTGGCCTCTGGCTGTTCGAGCCTGTTAGGGAAACACCGAAATTGCTTGGTTGACCCCATACGGTGCTGTTAGCTGGGAGGCGAGTCAACCGACGAGGTTAGCTTTGCCGTTCATGTGAAGGAGCTGGCCGCTGGAGGACGAAAGGAATTAAAATTCATGGGAGGAAGGTTGTGATTATAGCCGGTAGAAAGTCTCTCGATTCTTAACCTCGGATCCCTTTTCATTCTACGTTTCCAGAGTCAGCTGTGGGTCGGAGTTGAAGCACTCTCCTGGCACACTCCATGACTATCTCCACATCTGTGCAGTGGTATCTTTGGGTGGGCACTCAGGTTTCTTCTCACAAAAATGTTTGAATATTCTGATGACTTTGAGTGAGAAAATCGGGGTTTAATTCAGAGTCAGAAAACCTGGATTTATGTCCATGTTTTCTCACTTACTAACAATGAGGCTAGATAATAATACTGGCTCTACTGCCATTGAGAGTGACTATCTTGAGTAAAATAGCAGTTTGAAAGTGCTTGCTGTGTGACCTTTCCTACAGACAGGTATTCCCCAGAGCAACAGGTTGCATCTTCTAGTAGTAATGCCAGTTTCTAAAAGTTCTATTTTGTTTTGCAAATATCCTCAGCATTGAATCGTGAGCACCATAGTATAGGCATACCACAGAGTAAACTGTATTTCTGCATAGTCACATAGAACTCATTATGAATTCACTGTGATTTAAATCTCGTTTTAAAAGTTTTTGCTGCTGCTAATCAGACATCCTTTTTCCTGTACCTTTGTTTTTCATTTTGGTTTCCCTAATGCGAGTTCAGGACCTAACAGTCAAATAAGGGTAGGGAAATGACTTTGCATTTAGTCATGTTAGCAGAAAGTAACAGAAATCAGTTGAGATGAGGAAATGGAGACTGTTAGAGTAACTCTTTCAAGAAGGATTATTGAGGTTCAGATTGCTAAGAAATGGACAGAAACTGTTGGGCAAGAGAGGGTAGTAAAACCAGTAGGAAAGGCCCTGCCTGGTGGCGCAGCGGGTTAAAGCACTGCACTAAGAAACTAAAGCCACCTCTGCATGAGTTCGATTCCCGCCTGCCCTGGAGGCGACCACATGGCGTGGCAGACCTCTCCTGACCTGCCCGCTGCTCCCCTCAGCAGTGTACTTCGTAGATCTGCCTGTTCTGCTCCCCACTCTGTCTCTGGTGAATCCTCTCACCCTCTGCATCTCTGGCCTGTACCCCAGTTGTGTACGAATGAATAAATAAATCTTTAAAAAAAAAAAAAAACAACCAGTAGGAAAAACACAGTTGAAATTGGATGAAAGTTACCTGGGTAATCCAGGATGGAGAAGAGGCCCCTGAACGAGTAAGGTCTTTCAGAAGCCAGAAGGGCTGGCTCCAGAATACTTATGGAGGGGTTGGTCTCAGTAGACTTGCAATTGAAAGGAAGTGGGGGTGAGGGGTAGGGGATGAAATGAGAGCAGATGTCCATGTGTTGGCATTATGCTAGGCACCCCCTTTGATGCAGTCATCTCAGTGCTACCAGATCTATGTAATGATCCCTGTATGCAAGCCATGTTGACACATGACTGTCATAAAAAGCCCTATTAGTATTCACATAATGTTCCAGATAATTATATCCATACTGTTTGCCAAATTTAATAGTTCTGTCAAAAGAGATTGGTACACCAGGATATACTCTACTACTTGTAGTCATTTTCCAGTGTGTACAAATCTTAATGTAGACTTTTCAATAGCAGGCTCATTTGCTTATAAGGTTCTAAATCTGCTTACTGCATTTTCTGATAATGACACATCTTTCCAGGATAACAGCACCATTCTAACCATGGTACAGCAGCCTTGCTTGTTTATTGAGCTAATTTATCCAGGCCCAGAAAACATCATTGATATTTTGTTTTAAATCCTCTTCTCATGAACTTCTGTTCCTATTAATGTTCATTTTAGCCTGTTTATCATGGAAATAATTCTGTTTGAGAGAAAAGACAAAAGCAACAGAGTTAGCAGTTTTTAAAAAATGTGTGAAGTATCCAGTGCATAAGCATGTGCTCAGTATTCTTTCTAAGTTGTTCACTTAGTCCCTCTGACAGCCTTCTAACTCCCTTAACTCTTGTTTTACTTTATAGGTGAGAAAACTGATACTCAGGGAATTTAAATGACTTGGTCTGAGATAACAAGGTGACCTCTGGTTAGGTTATTCTTTGTTATGAGTGGTGTTATTGTGTGTAGTATATATTTAAGCAGCATCCCAGGCCCTTCTACCCACTAACTTCCAATAGTATACCCCCAGTAGTGACACCCCAGAATGCCTCCAGATGTTGCCAAATTGCCCAGGAGTAAGAAGAGATGACAAAATCATCTGAATTAATTTGGTAGCAGCTGGACTAACAGATTAAACTGAAATAGCTGGAAACAACTCTGGTTAGACTGCTACACTGATTCAGGTGAGCTTATAGTGGTCACTTAGGAATGGAAAAGAATGAACCTCAGAATTTGACCTAGTTGAGTACAAGGGGACAAGTTATAGCGTGCCTTTTTTTTTTTTTTAAAGGTTTATTTATTTATGCATACAGAACTTGGGTACAGGCCAGAGGTTCAGGGGCAGTGAGAGGATTCACCAGAGACAGAATGGGGAACAGAACAGGTAGACTGTAGAAGTACACTGCTGAGGGGAGCAGCAAGCGGGTCAGGAGAGGTCTGCCTCCTCATGTGGAATCCCTCCAGGGCAGGCGGGGATCGAACTCACGCTGAAGTGGCTTAAGCTTCTTAGTGCTGTGTTTTAACCCACTGAGTCACCAGGGAGGGCACTATAGCGTGACTTTTAAGAATGGAATAGAATTAAGATATCAAAAGAGGAAACAGCTTTGACATATTTTAATTTGAAATGTTACACAGAACCTTCAAGTCAGTTCAGAATTTCAGTTCTTGTATTTTGTCAGAATGTGCCCAGAGCAGATAAAAATTGCTGATTAGTGGTTCTTATATTTCTGGGTAATGCCAGTGTTATACAAAATAGACAAAAGTGGATGTAAAATTGAATCTTAGCGGGCCCTCCCTCCCTGGTGCAACAGGTTGTTAGGACGCAGCACTGCAAGCTAGCTGTAGCCACTTCAGTGTGAGTTGGATCCCTGGCCTGGAGGCAGTCCACATGGCGTGACAGACTTCTCCTGGCCGCTTTGTCTATCTGCCTGTTCTGCTCCCCACTCTGTTTCTGGTGCATCCTCTCGCTGTCCCTTCGCCTCTGGCTGTACCCCATTTCTTTATGCATAAATAAATAATTTTAATAAGTAAGAATGAAACTTTAGCTGAAATCTCGTTGTGAAATTTTAGATATGGCACTTACATTCTGTCAGTAGTGGTTTAATGTGCTTTACACCACATTCCAGGGAAAGGTCCAGACAGGTGAGGGAGATTACAGAGACATATAAGGAGCTCCCAAACTTTTAAGATAGGTGTGCATTTTGTACTTGGTTATTGTCTTTCATGAGCAATAAATACTTGATTGTCTATTGTATACTACAAATGATTAAAAATTTAAACTTGAATTGAAAGTGCATTTGGGTTTTGAATAGAATGTTTTTGGGTGCTAGAGGTTGACACAGATGACACCTCTACCCATAGGGGGTGAAATCAAGTGGGTTAGTTCCCAGGAAGATTGAGCTTTGAAGGGCAAGTTAAGATGATGGACAAGGTGACTGGGTACATGCAGTGTGCAGTACTGGTGGGACTATAGAACATCCTGGAGGGCAGGAATGGCATTGCCAGAGACTGGGGGCTTGCTGTAAATGCATATGGAAGAATGGTAGAGTTCTCAATAAGACTGTTAGGTAGTATATAAAATAATTATAAAATATTTTTTAGCAAACTAAATTATCCAAAACATAATTTAAAATTCCAAGAAGATAATTGCCTTCATATTTGGTCCTCCTTACTTACCTTAGCTAACCATAAAAAATGTTTTGCGTAACAGCTTCAAATTTCTGCTAGTGTGCTGTTTCCTCTAGTGTGTGTTGCATCTAGTGTGCTGTTTCCTCTACAGAGAAGTCAAGAATATTCTCCTTTTGGGTCATTTCTGCTATAATAAGACAAACCAAAAAAAAAAAAAAAGCCAGTTTTTCAGATTGATCAATTCATACAGAGCCCTTTTATGGGCCATCATTGCCTGTTGTGGGGATGCAAAAAGTAATAAATAAGAACAAGTAACACTGGTCTAGTGGGGGAGAGAGGCCTATAAAGAAATTTACTAGGTCTGTAAAAAAAAAAGAGTATCTAAGAGGTGTTGACGCCTTGCAGACACAGAGGGGTGGGTGGTACTGGAAAATCTTAATATGAACTTGTGCTGAAACTTTGAGGATTTGACAGCGAATCTCCACATAGGGCACAGTGGGGAGGTGGACACAACATGGAAGTTAAGTTCATGGGATTTTTCTCGGTGAAACTTTAAAATATTTCAGTATTTCCTGCTGCCTGAATTGATTTTCCAAATTAAAAACCTAATCCCCTAAGTATTTCAGTACTTCTTATCTTTTTCAAAAGACTGTTGAAATCTACTTTAAATAGTTTCCTTTGTGAGGACTCTTTTAAGTATACATGCTTCAGAGTTTTGAAGCTGTTAACCAAGATAGAATTTCTCATTTGTTTTGTTGTTTGTGACAAAGTGCTAAGAGAAACACAGAAAAAAAAAATACAAGAACTGGGTACAGGCCAGAGGTGTGGGATGTGAGAGGATTCACCAGAGACAGAGTAGAGAACAGAACGGTTGGATTGACTGAAATTCACTCCTGGAGGGGAGCAGCAGGCGGGCCTGGAGAGGTCTGCTGTGCCATGTGGATCAGCTCTCTGGCGAGGTATGGAACTCATGCTGCAGTGGCTTTGGCTAGCTTCATAGTGCTGTGCTTTAACCTGTTGCACTACCAGGGAGGGCCTGGACCACAGAAATTTGAAAGAAAATGGAAGTGCAGTTTTATTTTTGATACAGAGAGATTTAGCATTGTAGATATTTGTAGATTTTGATACAAGTAGATTTTGATCATGTACTGTATACAAAGACGTCAAAATAATAAACTGTCTTTGAGAAGTTTTCTTGTGTAATGGTGAAGTGTATATATTCTTTTTGGGAGAAAGGGCATTGCCTTTTTTAGCTAACATGATTTAGCTAATATGATCGTAATGTTGAAAGACATAAGGAAAGAAAAAATTATAAGGATTTTTTTCTCCCTCGCTGTAAGCCTTTGAGTGCCTGTGTCTTCTGTGAAGAAATTCACACATTTAGTTAGGAAATAAACTGCTTTTTTTCTCATGTGCCAAGAGGCTTTATAGGATTAGCCCAAGGAAATAGTGAATCAGACAGTAAGGGGAAGATACCCTTAGTGTTGCATATGAAGTGACTGCAAGCTAAATGCATATTTACTCAACTGCCCTGCCTCCAGTTTATACCAAAAAAATGTCAGAGGGCAGCAAATCACAGGATCAAATGAGTTTTCATTCTTGATTTTGTTAATTCAAGATAGTTCCCAGAAGCAGTTTTGGTGCTACAACTATAGTATAGTTTTAGCCTTTAATCCAGACACAGTATTTTTAAAATGAGTTCTTCTAATTCAGTGAATTAAGATTAATATCCTAAGTAAAAATTTAGATTGATATTACAAATGTTTTCAGTTCAGGCTATCTTCCTAATCATTGTGTTAATAGCTGCACCTCACCCACCCCCTTAAAATGAGATGTTTAAGAACCTCTAATTTTATTTTATCTTCCATCTCTCATGAATTTGTTAACTTATTCAGCGAGTACTTATTAGGTGCCAGCATCTATGTAAAGCATTAGGTGTAAAGAAATAGATACCTTAACATACATTTTAGTCAGTAACCAAACTGGACCAGATACCATCCCAAATATGTTTTCATAATGGTCTCACAGCTTAGGAAGCCTCCTTTCCTTTGCTTAGTAAACTTTCCCTGCCTGTCAAGATGTGTAGCTCAAGAGGGAAAAGTTCCCTTCTATCCAAGACAAAAAATGTCACTTCATTTCTTTCACTCTTTGTCATTCTACTTTCTTACTAAATAAGTAACCATCCAAAATAGAAAAATGCTCATCCCTATTTTATAGCTGAAGAAATATTCCGAGAAGACCCAGATAATGAATGATGAGAGAGATTAAAAGAACCCAGTCTCTAAGACTCTGTCACCTCTACAACAAAGAAGGTCCTAAGCAAGGACACTAAACAGGAGCTGGGGTTTCCCAGGAGGTGTATGACTTTGAGCAGCTCTCGGGATTTCTCGGCCCTCTTCAGTAGATGAAATGCTGCCTCTTCTGCTTCAAGTGAGATGTAAATATGAAAACGTGCTTCACAGTTGTTTTTCCCTTAAATGACATACCTGAATAAGTATATTTAGGTATATGCATGCACACACACAGACACTGAGCTACATGTAGATAGTACCTGTATCTGTCTGTCTATGGATGATAGATCAGTCCCAGAAATTGTGTGTGGCTGTAAACTACAGCTTAAACACAGTTTTGCTTCTGTATAAAAGCTTTTAACTATAATGGGTACATGGGTTCATTATACTACAGTTTCTACTTTAGTGTGTGCTCAGCATTTTCTACAAAGGTTTATTAAAAAGATTTTCAAAAAGCACCATATGATTATAAGCAATACAACTATCTTAGTGGTTTTCTTTGCTTGTCTTTCTTAGCTATTAGATATTTTGTTTTTCTGAAGGCAGGAAATGCCTTACGCCTTAAATAGTGTCTCCTTAGTGGTGACTTGATAGATTGGGTGAGGGGGTGGGGGAAATACAGTTCTTGCTAGTGACCCTTAGAGGCCCAGGTCATAGGATTGGCTTCCACACAGGAGCCACCTTAGAAGGGTGCTCATCTGGTGTTTCAGTAACTAAATGCCTGTGGCTGAGAGCCACAGCAGACTTGCTATGGGTAAAATTTCTCTATGCAATAAGAGTGTTATAATGTGGTTTCTGTGTAATGCCAGAGAGCATTCTTTATGTGTATTTTTAAAATTGTTTTTGAATAGATAATACGTGCTCATGGTACAGAAATCTTACTGTGCCTGATTTCTCCCCTTAGTGATAGCCAGTGCTCCAGTCTTTAGAGTAGCTGTCCTGAAATACTCTCTGTTTTTATCACCATACCATATAGGTTTTTTTTTTTTTTTTGACACACAGTTTAATATGTTGTTTTTTTTTCCTTTTCTATTTTGAGTTCTTCAGTGCAGCAGTGCTAATAACACAGTTGCTCTCTGTCCACCATGTAATTTATGTAGCTGTTTTATTATTGGCATACAATTTGATTATGATAGCAAAACCTTAGAAAAAATATTGGCGATAAGTATCTTTAGAGATACTTGTTCATTTGTGTAGTATATCTTTTTAGTTAAATTCCTGGACCTGGGCCCTCCCTGGTGGCGCAGCGGGTTAAAGTACAGCACTGAGAATCTAAAGCTGCTTCCGCATGAGTTCGATTCCCGCCTGCCCCGGAGGAGACCACATGGCGTGGCAGACCTCTCCTGACCCGCCCGCTGCTCCCCTCAGCAGTGTACTTCGTTGATCTGCCTGTTCTGTTCCCCACTCTGTCTCTGGTGAAGCCTCTCACCGCCCGTGAGCCTCTGGCCTGTACCCCAGTTCTGTATGCACAAATAAATAAATCTTTAAAAAAAAAAATTCCTGGACCTGAATTAATGGGTCAAAGAGACTTGGGCATTTTTTAAAAACTTGACAGCCAGGCCCTCCCTGGTGGCGCAGCGGGTTAAAGTACTGCACTGAGAATCTAAAGCTGCTTCCGCATGAGTTCGATTCCCGCCTGCCCCGGAGGTGACCACATGGCGCGGCAGACCTCTCCTGACCCGCCCGCTGCTCCCCTCAGCAGTGTACTTCTGCCTGTCTGCTCCCACTCTGTCTCTGGTGAATCCTCTCACCCTCTGCATCTCTGGCCTGTACCCCAGTTCTGTATGCGCAAATAAATAAAAATCTTTAAAAAAAAAAAAAAAAAAAACTTGACAGCCAACTTTAGATTGTAATAATTCCTCCTCTTCCCCCCAGCAGTATGTAAGAGTGCAGGTTTGTGCTCACTCTCCCCAATATAGTGTTTTAAACTTTCTAATCTTTGCTAGTTTTACAGGTAAAATGTTTCCTGTATACCATGACTCCTCATAAGTGGAAAATCCCTTTGTTGGGAAATGATGGCTGAGGGGTATGGAGTTTTTTTTGGGGGTGGGGGGTGACTGTTACATGTCATAGAATTATATAATGGTAATGGCTTACACCATCTTTGTGATTATACCAAAAACCACTGAATTGTACACTAAGGGTGTTTCATGGCATGTGAGTTATAGCTCACTAAAACTACTCTTAGCTTAAGTAGCTTATTAACTTCATTTCCTTTGCTTTCCTGTTGCCCCCTCCAACTTTTTTTTTTTTTTTTTAGTAAGAAATTATTTTTAGTCTTTGCTATATTACCTGTATTTTTCCCAGTTGGCCATATGTACTTTTGATAAGTACTTTTGATTTTCTCATTAAAATTTTCCTATTTCTTGTTCTCTTTTTAACATGTTTAAACTTTGACTTAGTTGGAGTTTATATGGACAAAAGTTATAAGGAGGGCCTGTACCGCAGTTCTGTATGTATAAATAAATAAATAAATAAATAAATAAAAATTCTAGATATTTTGTGGGTGTTGCATTAACGTGGACAGATTTATAGAAATTGATTATTTTGCCTCTTCTATTCACTTTTTTTTTTGCCTTGTCAACTCCTGCTTTCAGAACAATGTTAGTTAAATACAGTGATCACAGCAGGAATTCTCAGATTGCCTCAGACAGGCGTGCTTTGGTTATTGTGTATTAATACTTGTCTTTTTTTTAAAGATTATTTATGCATACAAGAGCCTGGGGTATAGGCCAGAAGTTTGTAGAGAGGATTCACCAGCTTGTATATTGACTGAAATGCATTGCTGACGGGAGCAGCAGGACAAGGAGAGGTCTGCTGTGCCTTGTGGGTTAGCTTTCTGGCAGGGGATTGGACTCACGCCACGCCACTGAGACTAGTGATAGCTTGATGGCACTAAGACTTAATTCCTTGAGCTACCAAGCAGGCCCCTGTTTTAATACTCTGAAGTGAAATTGGCCTGTAGGGTTCTTTTGGTTTTTATTACCATATATATAGTCTCCTTAGGAATAATTTTAAAGCTCCTTCCTTGCCTTTTTTTAAAAAATCAATTCTGAAACAGTTTAAATTTAACAATTTAAATGTTACTTGTCCTGAAAAGTTCAGTGGTAAAAATCACCTGTGAAATTGAGCAGGGCTCTTACTTTTTGGGGTAGCAGGTCTTAGTGCTTTATTTTACTTCAGTAACTACTGTAATCATTTTCTTCTTTAGAGATCAGTTTTCTCTAAAGAAAAATACACATTTTACTAAAGTTTACAGATGTTTCTACATGGCCAAGCCATAATACTCATTTCTCTGTATCTTTCTTTGTGTTCTTTATATTGATTTCTTCTTTCCTACAGGAACAGGAAGTATAGTCGTCATTATGGTTAGCTACCCGAAAGGAAGAGAAATTTTGGATCTTGTGCAAAAAGGGATTCCAGTCAGAATGACCATAGGGGTTGGCACCCGTCACGTACAGGAGTTCATCAGTAGTCAGTCTGTGGTGTTTGTGGCCATTGCTTTCATCACCATGATGATCATCTCATTAGCCTGGCTAATATTTTACTATATACAGCGTTTCCTATATACTGGCTCTCAGTTTGGAAGTCAGGTAATGATGCATATCTCTTTTTAACTTTGCTTTTTAAAAGACAGTCTGTAAACATTTTCCATATATATATATATATATACACCCACACACACATATAATAGCTGAAGTTATATTGAACCATACTTTTAAATTTCATTTTCATTCATCATAATTAAGTATAATATTATTTTTTAAATATTTTAAAATTATATTAAATTTTTAATTTTGTGGGACATTAGATGCCTTTTAGTCAGGGTCACTCTTTGCATGTTTTGCTCCTATAGATCCCCTTTTGTCCTTTTATAGACATAAAGGAATGACAGAAAGGCAAGAGGGAAAAAACCTGGTTCTGTGTTTAAAAAAGAACTCTGGCCCCCAAGATGAGGAGCAGAATGGGAAGGCTTCCATATCATCAGAGTGGAGTGGTTTTCAAAGCTATTTATGTGCTGAGAGAACCATTTATGTAATAGCAAAGAGAAAGGCAGTTGAAGAGTCAGCCTTCAAAGGCAAACTTCACACTTACCTCTAATTGTCTTGAAAAGTCCAGCTTCCTGGCTTTTTTGTAAGTGGTAAATAATCATTTTGGGGCCATGGTCTCTCTGATAATAGAAAGTCTCTTTCCTTTTAGAGATGTTACTGCTTTAAACGAAAAATTTGGGTTTTTTTAAGACATGGAATTGAAAATAAGTATTCGTGCTCAAACAGCTCCATGTGGCTGTTCTATACATTGAAATTTAAGTGGTGACTTTTTAAAATGTGTTTTTATTATAGATTAACTTCCAATGATATTTTTACGAGCTTGTGTAGCTATGAATAAATAATGAATTTTTAATAGTGACTTAAAATTTTTAATGATAATATTTCTCCTACCTAAGAGCCATAGAAAAGAAACAAAGAAAGTTATTGGCCAGCTTCCACTTCATACTATAAAGCACGGAGAAAAGGTAATTTTGTTTGTTTGTTTGTTTAGACTAAAATATGCCTGTTTATGTAATCTTAAGTAGTGCCTTCCAGTCTGATAAAATCAGTGTTAATAAACATGTAGAGTTTGGCTGGGTTGAATTGTGCTAACTTATACATGTGTTCATTCTAAGTAAGGGTTGGCAGAAATAGTCAATTTTATATGTGAAAAGCCTCTGGACCTGCACTGTCTGGTAAGGTAACCATTAGTCATGTGTGGCTATATGAATTTAAATGAATTCAGTTAAACTTAGAACTCAGTGTATCAGTCACATTACTTATATTTCAAGTGCTCAGATACCACATTTGTGGTGCTACCATTCTAGAAAGCACAGACATGTCCATCATTCAAGTAAGTCTTAACCTGTTGGCCAGACACAGGTGACTCTTAAAGAAGCCATACAGCTTAGTTTATGCCATTCACCTTGATGAGTTAAATTTATATCTGTTAAGTCTAAAATTACATGTTCATCCTCTCTGATTCCCATAGTTACAGGGTTTAGAAAATGCTGGAATTTGTGAAAAGAAGAAAAATTGTTTTTAAAACTACTGTTTATAAAAAGAAACATTTTGACATGTCCAACCTGAGGCTTAAAAGGTCAGAATTATACCAGTTGTAAAACATTTTTGGAAAAGGAAAACCTCTGAATCTAGAATCTCAGGTTCTTACAGGTTAGATACCCTAAAAGAAAAATAGTTGAACTGTACTTACAGTACTGTCTGTTCCTCTGACCTACATGAAAGATTAAAACAGAAATAGCACTCACTAAAAACAGACATTTGACTTGTGACACTTTGCTGTTAGTAGTTTATGTGATATACTTTATACAGATACTCTTGGACTGGATTGTCGTGGCCATCCCTTCCTCAACACGTTTTCCATTGTAGTAACAATTAAGATGGAGTAGCTCAGAGAACTAGTCGGTTTCTTTCTGTGTGTATGTGTGTTTTGAACAGAAAAGGAAAAAAAGGAATTGCCATCTCGTTACTTAAGATTACTATCCGCTGTGCACATCAGTGGGTCACCAGGAGTGCGCAGGCTGCACCTGTGTTCCGTGTAGTGAGTCAGTCTCTGGAAACCTGTCTTCCATTCTCCAGAGCAGAAATCCCAATTCTTACATGTGAGAAGCCATAGATTCATGTTTAATTTACTAAACTGAGAACTTACAACTTAATTGATATTTCCTTTATCAATTACAGAACACTTAAAAATTTGCTCTTATGGACTTTTTATGAGTTGTGTGATAATAGTTAAAAAGAGGATCTGTAAATGTTCCATGAGGTGTATACACATGTTCAAATATATGTAGATTTTCTGGTGATTGATTCTATTTTAAACTTGTATAGAAAAATGTTATTTTTCCCCACTTTCTCAAATTTGCATCTTGCCTGGTTCAGGAGACTGCTTGTTTGCTAATTTAATTTCTCTGGTGGACTTGTTTACAGTAACATAGAAGATTGCAAACCACTAGAGACTTTAAAATTTTGTCATTCCTGCATGGCATATGATAAATACCTGATAATATTTGTCTCTGTTACAACATATAATTTTAAATGTTCTTATAAAGTTTTGATAGCAGTATATGCATATAAAATCACCATTTACTGCTTATTAACAAATGATACACATGGCTAAATATAATTTCAAACCATCTGTTAGCTGTGTTCCATAAAATTAACTTGCTCAAGTCTTGGGCACATGCAGACATTGATTGATAACCCCTGCCTCCGCATCCCAGACTTCTGGAAAACAGTGTCTTGAATTGGCCTGTGTTGGGCCAGGTGATCACTGTGACCCCTGCTTTGGTTGATAGATGAGGCCCCATGGTTAGGTCCAGGGTTACCCATGGAAATGGGGTGAGGGCCAACATCACCCAAAGTTGTTGGGTGATGTTCTACTTCACATTCTGAGAAGTAGAATTTTTTTTTACAAGACTGCTTCCTCTCCAGCAGCTTTTTTTTTTTTTTACATTTGTTAACCTGATAGATGAAAATGTTAACTTATTTCAGTTTTTAATTCTTTTATCACTGGTAAGGTGATTATTTTCAACATTTAGCCATTTGTATTTTCACATATTTAGTTGTAACTATTCTTTCAGCAAATTCTAATGAAATTGCCCTTGTTTTTGAGGATTCCAAGAAACAAGTATTTTGTAAAATATTCATCCTCTTCCTAAGTTTTATATTTACAACTTATTTTTTAGGAGTGAAATAGGCATTTGCATACCTACAGCCCTTAAAATATGAGCACTTAAAAAAACACTAGTGCTTAAATACTACTTATATGTGATTAGGTAAACAATGGAATTTTTTCCTTTTCAGTCAGATATTTGGAGTTTATATCACATTTATCAAATTATAATCATTAAGGACTTTGCTGAATTTACTATGTAGAATAAAATAAAATTTAAATGGTAGTATGGATTATTTAAATTTAAACAAATAGTGTTTGTTTTAAACAAATACATTAAAATTTAACTAGTATGTATTATTCAAAATTTTTTAAAATTTAAATCACTTAAATTTTATTCCTACTGATAAAACTATCAGCTGTGTTCTTTAAATGACCTCTAAGTAGTGGTAAAAGTAAATACTTGTAGAAATAATCTGTGTTTATTTCAGATTATACCAGTGCCAAAAGGAATTCACTGCTTACCCAGAATGTAGTGAGTTTTACTGAGAATAAAGTGTATAATATAGATGTTAAAAATTCCTTCCTCTTGTTTTTACAGGGAATCGATGTTGACGTTGAAAATTGTGCAGTGTGTATTGAAAATTTTAAAGTAAAGGATGTTATCAGAATTCTCCCATGCAAGTACGTTTTCTTTTTAACTCCTGCGATGTTAAAAATTACTTGAAAGCTTTCTTAGAAGTATTGTTTCCCTTTTTACATGAAAATCTTGCTATCGTGATATTTTAGTGAGTATTGAGTATCTTAGAAAAGAAACCTCGGCTGTTTTAAGTTTGCCTGTATTGTATTACTTTAAAATTGCTTTGCTTAAGAGACTTAGGTGACCATTAAGGTCACCTTATATATCTTTGACACAGATTGACTTCTGTCTTATAAGCAAGGCTTCTTTGCGATCTTGGGAATAACCTTATTATACTTTTGGCGAAGCTATTATACTTTTGGCGAAGCAACAGGTATGAGGTGAAGGATGCAGGGAGAGGGTAAAAAGTGGGTCACAAAATGGCAGTAGTTTACTGTTAATAACATGTTGGATTTAGTTCTTTTGGGTATTGTGTAAAATAAATATTTCTCCTTTTACTCTGGGTACAGAGAACTTTTTAAAATATTTTTCTTAGGAACAAGAAATTGTGATTTCCTATTTATTTTTAAAAGATTTATTTTATTATGTATGCATACACGAGCTGGGGTATAAGCCAGCAGTGTGGAGGGAGGGTAAGAGGATTCACCAGAAACAGAGTGAGGAGCAGAACAGGTGTGTTGGCTGAAATACACTGCTGAGATGAGCAGTGAATGAGACAGGAGAGGTCTGCCTCACCATATGGGTCACCTCCCTGGCAGGCTAGGGACTAAACTTGGGTGGAGTGGCTGGTGATTGCTTCATGGTGCTGAGACTTACCCCCTTGCGCCACCAGGGAGGGCCCCCAATTTCTTTTTTTAATAATGGCTTATTTGATAAGTTTTTCCAAGAATTGCTGTTTAGCAGAAGGGTGTACAAATTTCTATGTCTTAAGTTGATCAATTTCAGTGATATTTCACACCTATTAAAAGTTAATGTGTAGTTATGTTTATTTTAAAGTACTTTAATGTACAGTAGATTAACTTCTCAGTAGCTCTGTGGAGAAAATAAATAAATGACTCAGGGTAACAAGATATTTTCTTGAGTTAAGATTACTATAGGCATTTATGTGGGATTGCTATGGTGGGTACTTAATAAATCAGGTCACTGTAGGTTGAGAATTATTAAATAAGAATTTTTATCCCAGACTAGTTGAAGGCAAATCTTAATGATTTAAAATAGCTACGTAAGATGCTGCACAAGTGAGCCTCTGAAGCAGTCTCCCTGTATAGCACCAGCCATGTCTTGATAGCTTTTGTCCTTGACCCTCACAAGCAGACATGCTGTGTACACACATTTCCTCCTGTTACCCTCCTCCCCATTTCCCCATGCACTTATTTAACAAGTTTTTTAAAAAGTCAACATGTTTCTTTTGTGTTTCTGTGAAAATTACTTCTTTGGGTCAGTTGGTTTCAGTTTGAGGATGGAATCAAAAGATAAGCTGAAGTAGACTACGTGTGGTTAGGTGCTGTTATTAGCTGCACTAGCAGATTTCTACTTGAAGTAAAGGCCTTCAAACAACACCAAAAATAGTGAACAACTGTCCCTGATGTGGGGGTAAGCATATGACATGTTTGCTGTTCAGAACAGCCTTAACCAAGAGGTTAAGCAGCTCCTTGAATGTCGCAGCACCACGTCATGAGCCTGTAACTCAGACTGTTCATTTCTGATCTTCATGCATTGGAAACATAGATTTATCACAAGAGGAAAAGTTGACAGATAGGTAAAGAAGAAAACACATACGGGATCGTTCTTTTTTTTTTGATTCTGATAGTGATCAATTTTATTCTAGAAAAATGTAGTATGTGCAAAAATAAGTAAATAGAAAATGTGTTTTTAAACCCAGAGCTCAAGATGATCTGTTAAATTGTTTGTTCTGCTTACATTTGAATAGTTTTATGAATTTATGTAAGACTATGAATTTAGGATTAGCTATTTCTGTTACTGGTTTGTTTACTTATGCCACATTTATTCCCAGGAGGCCTTCAAGTCACTTACAAAGGCACATACAAATAAAACCTAGCATGAGGTGACAATAAACCATGCTATTTTTATGAAGAGAAAATTCTTTACCAGTGCTAGATTCTGTTTACTATAGAAAATAAAATAAATATTACTTAGGGTAAGTGAATAGACTAGGATGTTGGTTTGACATAAGTTAACTTATAATGAGAGGATGCGTGTGTTATTTCCTTTATAAGAATAAACATTTACTTTAAGACATTAACACATACTTAATTTTTTTAGGCATATTTTTCATAGAATATGCATTGACCCTTGGCTTTTGGATCACCGCACGTGTCCAATGTGTAAACTTGATGTCATCAAAGCCCTGGGATATTGGGTTTGTTACATTTTTGTTTATATTCAATCTCTGCCCCGGTTCTTCCTGAGTGATTCAATTATATTACTGGCCAGAGGCAAGAGGAATGAACTCAATATTCCTCTAGCATCCATGTGGTTCTCTGAAGAAGTGTGCCTCTTTTAAAAAATTAAGACATTCTTAAAACTTAAGTTGTGAGTATAGAATAACATACTAGATATTTTCCCACAGTTTGTAATTATGCAGAGCAATATATTCTGGTGCACTACACTGTAGAATGTATATATACTAGTCAGTTTTGTACAATCAAAACTAAAATGTTTGAAATGAGCGTCATACATTTTGACTCAAGGTGCACATTTTATATGTGAGGAAACTGAAGCCAACATTCTTGACACCACCTCTCCCAATTCCTGGCCTTCAAAATCAAATACTGCTGGAAAAATTGTCCTGCATTGAATCTGTTTTGTCAGTTTGTGATTACTTAATATGGCCATAGAACCTTCTCAGAAAACAGACAAAAGGCAAAGTAAGAGAGAACATGGTTATACTAGCTACATGTTAAATGCCCGCATACACCATCCCATTTAATTCTCCCAACCATTGAGGTAAGTGCCATTACTATTCCTGTTTTACTAACTAGAAACTGAGCTTAGGGAAGCTAAGTAACTCACCTAGTCACACACAGTTAATGGGGCATTGGTTTTCAAAAACAGGTTTGTTTAATTCCAGGGTGCAAGCTATTTAACTCTCCTGTCCAAAGTTGGGAACAGAGAGAGGGGGAAAACCTAGATATTTTAGATTGTTATATTTTTTGTTTTGTGTGTGTGTGTCTTCATATACTGTATTAATGCCCTCAACTATTCTTGATTAAGTAGTAAACTATTTTGAGATAAAAAAAACTCTGAAAAACATAATTTGAATACCAAATGTATTACTTTTTATTAAACCTAGTTTTTTTGATAAAGTTTAGCAATTACAAAGAAGTGTTTTTAAGATAATCATTTTATACAGTTTGAAGCTACAATAGCCCTTAAGGCCTCATCTGTGTCCCTTCATCTTCTAGCTCAGGATGTCTTCAAAAGACAGTTGAGAGACCACTGCTTTCACTACTGCAATTTCAGGGAGTTACACTTTTCAGGCCTGAGTTCCTGAATACCATCCCTGTAGGCACACAGGGAGTAAGGTCAGCATTCAAGACTGCCTTACTAAAACCTCATCCACTCTGATATCTTGACAATTTCTGTGTATCTAGTCCTTGTTTCTAATAATGGTAGCACTCTTCAGCCTGGCATAATATGCTTTCCTAATAACCTGGCACACCTGCTCTCGGCTCCAGCAAGAGACAAGATGAACCTCATTTTAAAAGTTGGAGTCAGGGACAGTATTTTAAACAGTAGGGTTCAGAGAACTGAATAGATGGTTTCCTTGGCAAAGTTTTCCATCTTCTTCTTTCTCTAAATAAAGTTTTCCTTCATTTAGAATTTTTTCCACTAGTCGATAATTTTATTTTAAGGTTTATTTATTTATTTATGCGTACAGAACTGGGGTATAGACCAGAGGTGCAGAGGGTGAGAGAATTCACCAGAGACAGTGTGGGGAGCAGAACAGGTAGAGTGATGAAGTACACTGCTGAGGGGAGCACCGGGGCGAGACAGGAAAGGTCCGCTGAGCCATGCATATCCCCTCCGGATCTGGGGATTGAACCTGCTCTGATGCGGCTGCCACTAACTTGCAGTGCTGCTCTTTAACCCATTGTGACACCAGGAGGACCTGCTTTTCATTTCTAAAAATTTGAATAAAAGGAATTTCAGTGACTTAGCATTGAGACTTTAATCCTCAAAAGTTTTATGGTTGGATATATAATATGTATTAAAAAATGAAGATATTTCATTTTACATGAAGTTGGATTGCTTTCTTAGAATAAAATTTTAGAAAGCTAGAGTGTATATCTCCAGAAAGTAGTTTCATTTTGAAGAACTGTAACCTATAGCTTCTGTAAACTATAGGTTTCTGTAAACCTATAGTTGATTTACCTATAGTAAATCAAAATAAGAAATTGTCTTGCCCCCATAATTTTTTTTTTTAAGATTTTGAAAAGTATGTCACTTTCTTCAGATTCATCGGCCCTACTACAAGGATTTTTATGAATTAAAAAATCCTTATTTTTATTGACTGGTAACTATTTCTCATTTCCAAGAAAATGACCACAACGACGAACTGCCATAGGCCTTTACATTTGCAGCTCAAACCACTTAGGTGGGTCATTTGTTGCTTCATTCATTCAACAAGCATTTGTCAAAGGAATACTATCTAAGGTGCTGGATCTAAACTTGGCTCTGGGAAGACAAATAAGAGAGCCCCTCCATTTTGGGGATTCCACTTTATTGACATTATAGTATACAGAGGAAGGAGCAGTGTACCAGATGGGAAGATAAAGGGGCTGCATTTTTACACAGGGGGTATCTGAGCTGGATGTTTAAGGGATTTGTTTGATTGATCTGTGTATTATAGGTTATTGACATATCCATGGTGTGAATGTGGGGTCTCAGACTGGACAATGGTTCAGTCTGTCAGGTATTTATTTAAATACCTGGGAAAACAGATTAAGATAGCTGAGCAGGAGCTTGGATGGTAAGGCAACATATGTAATTTGTTGCTTAGTGTCAATAGTGTTCTGGAGGTGTTTAGTTACCAAGAGAAAACGTACCACCTGGTATTTGAGAAGGGGCAAGGACTTGTAGAACTCTGGAGCAACAATACTGTTGGCCTTGAGAGCCCAGAGTGGGGAGGGGATGACTATACAGTGTTTTCACTTGAAATAGTTGACAGGCCAAGCCAGGGCTCCCCTGGTTTTAAAAAAGGTTACTAGATAGCCCCCACTTTCACTGTCTTCCACAAACTGACAGCTGGATAGACGATTCTACAAGGAAGGAGCCAAAATTGACAATTTTAAATAAGATTTTTATTTATTCATACAGAACTAGGGTACAGGCCAGATGCTCAGGGGCAGTGGGAGGATTCACCAGAGACAGAGTGGGTAGCAAAACAGACAGATGGATGAAGTACACTGCTGAAGGGAGCAGTGGGGCGAGACAGGAAGGGTCTGCTGCACCATGTGGATCACTTCCAGGGCAGGGATGGAACTTGGCACTGAAAGCGGCTGTGGCTCACTTGCAATGCTGTGCTTTAACCTGCTGCGCCATCAGGGAGGGCTCCCAAATTGACAATTTTTAAGTGAATCAAATAGAATCTAAACCCTGTGTCCTTGGGTGGTTCAGAATCCTTGCTTATCTCTAAAACTCCAGTGTCACAGTAAGACAGCCTGAGGCAGTAAGTCCAGCTCATGTCCAGGGCCTTAAGTAACCAGGAGGTAGCCTCTGTTCAAGGCAGGAAAGTGCATTTGTAACAAAGCTTCACTTTCTGTTAATAGTTTAAAAGGTGGTAATGCTTGTATCAAGGGGAAATGGTTTTTAAAATAAAGGCTTAAGTCCTGGAAGACTGCTTTTTGAAAAGTAATTTATTTCTCTGATCCTGAAGAAGACATTGATAAACTTTTTGCCATATTCTGTGTATAAAAGTAAATAGTTCATGTGACTTATCAGCAAAAATTGTTACTTAGAAAAGACTTTGTTGTTGTTGTTGTTCTGCTTCTCAAGCTAGAGCTTGAGGATGGGCCTGAGATCCCCGCTCCAGATCCTACGCCAGGAAGTGTTTTGGCTGCTAATTTGAATATTATTGTACAAGAGGAGGACAGAAGTGATGTGACCAACTTACCATCATCTTCCACTAGTGAGTCTGTGCCACAGTGTGATGCCAGTTTTAAGGAAGATGCAGGTGAAAACACAGCCTTACTAGGTAAAGAGCTTGCAGTTTATAAAACAAAGTGGTGTTATCAGTAGTCAAAAGAAACTTAAGTACATAAAATGTGGAAAAACATAAAAGGAAAGTGGAAACCACAGACCTGCACTAGAAAACCATGTTATTGATAACATTTTGATAAAAGATTCTTCAGATGTTTTGCTGTTATTTGTATGCTGCTAATAATCTAATTTTTTTCTTAGGACATAAAACTATCAGTAGGTAAACATGATTTTGTATAGCTGCATAGAACTACATTCTGGGTTCAAGTAATTTCTTTAAACCTTACCCTATGGATAGACTTTATTATCAGTAAGAGACTATAACTATATAAATAATACCTCCAACTCAAACTATGTTTTGTAGCACCATGAAGATCAGCTTAATGTTGGTAAAGTTACTACTAGAAAAACCGCTCATTGTGAGGGAGGTATTTATTTTTTGTTGACTGTTCCTCTAGATTGGGTTGCCATTTATAAATGTCATTTTTTTTTAATCTGTAATTTGTTTCTTGATTACAGTCTCTAAATGAGTACAGTGTTTGTGTAGCTGAAGTTCAGAATATGCCAACTGACTTAACTCTGACTTTGTTGCTTTGTTGTAGAAACAGGCAGGCGAGACCTTCAGCATGGAGGACCATTGTCCTAGCGTACGTCCCATGGATGCATTAGGCAGAACTTTGGCTTGAAATAAAGGATGTTTTAACTTTTTTTTATTTTTACTTTAGCACATGGCTTGTATATTTGAAAATAATGTACATTCTTTTATCTTCCGGATTCTGATTTGATATACAAAAGTCTAAGATATTTTATTCTTACAAAGACTGATTGGTTTTCATATATTTACCTACTAAAGTATATCATTTACAATGAACAATCATTTAGTTTATCACAGAGACCACTAGGGAGGCGTCCTAGTCTCAAGGGGAGGTGATGTTTCTCAGTGTTAGGATAGTGTCTGTGCTACTGTGGAAACAAATTAACTCTGTTTCTACAGAGTAGTTATAAACTAAAAACACTTAAGACTAGTTGAAATGGAGTTTTGGAATTAAATTTAGTAATCAGTCATATGAGTTTTCTCTAGAGGAAAAACTATTTTAGAACGTAATGCTTGTAAATGACATGAAAGAAATGTATAGCTTTCTTGCACTTCTGTGTTAAATATGTTGGTTTCAAAACCTGAGGATATTTTGCATTGTTTTCTGTTTGGAATTAGGAAAACACTAGATGTCTTTAGGATTTGCATTTTCCCCTGTTTAACTTCTTGATGGGGAGTGAAAATTGTTTGATTTTTTTCTACAAATGAAAAACCAAGATTCTGTATTGCACATGAGCATTAAGTTCTTCATTGCCTTGTAAAGGAACCCATATAGGCGTCCTATGACTTTGGGTAAATGATGAATATATATGGTACTAAGTATACGTTACCCTTTACAATTAAAAGGCAATGAAGACTTTGATTTTTATTGTAGCAAAAATAATTTTAAAACAGGCTTAATTCTACTCATTTCTTTTTCTTATTTTTAGGTTAAAGAAGCAGGCTAATGTAAAGCTTTTGGAGATGGCTCTGTTTTGTAAAGTAACTATATAGGTAAACATACATATACCCTCTCAACCTCTGAGAGGTAAAAGTCAAGAATGAGGGAAGAGTTATTAAAAACTCAAAATTGTAGTCTTTGGTTGCTTCTACACTAGTTATTGTCTACATTCTTTATTTTGTGAATTTAAAAAAATGAGAAAATATATAATTTAAAGTATAATCAAATATAAGATAGAAAAGTTTAGTGCTTTTTTTTTCAAGCTATTTAACACAGTTTGATTCTAGCTACTCATAGTGAAATGCTTGTTGAGTAAATTTACTTAAATTGCATATCTGGAGTCAACGTGAGGAGCTGTTGAATAGAAAATGACGTGCTTGGGACACTAGACAAGCAACCTCAAAAGTGTAGGTTCTCATGGTGGCCATTATCTTTGAAATCTTTTTTTTTGTGGTTCATGGCATTTAGGAAGCCGTGCCCTTAATTCTATTTGGCCTGTGTGTTTTAAGAAGCATATTAGGGAGAAATGCTGAACTTGATCATTCTTCTTGGTAGCCAGTGAAGCTGACTTTTAAAAAGAGTACCATGACAGAGCAAGGTAAATTGGTTTTGATAGTTATAAAAGTCATTTCTTTATCAGCAGCTGTCATATAGCTTTTCTTATTTCAAAAGTTTGAACACTTAATTATATATAGCAGACTGGAAGAATTGTAGTCTCATCTCTAGAAACACAAGTTTTTAATAGAAAAAGAATCTAGCAATAGTAGAAAACACTTCAATTATCAAAAGGGAAAGTTTCCTTTAGTAGAAAATGTTTCTTAGATGGAAATAAACATGATAAAGAATGGTCCTATGTACCACATTTTTTTCTGAAACAGAGTTGATAAGATGCTACAAATATGGCAAATGTAAATGAAAAGCAGAGATTTAAGAGATGTCCTGTTTATGGTGTAATCGTTTTCCGTCAAGTAGTTCTCATAAAAATCATTGTTTCACCTATGTAGAAAAACTCTTTTTTAACTATGAAAGTCACATGCAGCATGTCAATGAGATGGTGTGTCCCAGAATGTCAAGTGCTCTCGTCCACTGCCTGCCTGTGTGCTGCTTCTGGGCTTTTCATCAGAAAACTTCAAAGACCTGGATTAGAGGTGGAGAAACACGGCACCTCTTGGCAGGTAATTTCTTGCACACTGTCTTGTTAGGGATGGATCATAATTACACAAAATATTTTCTGAAAGGTTGCTCCTTGTTACTGAGGAATGATGACAATAAAAGGCCGAATTGCAGTGTCTCCATCAACAGTTTGCTCTCTTTGTGGGCGCACGATGACAAAACCTCCTGAAGCGAACCACTGGTCTGACCTCAGTAACATCAGCACTGAAGCTTCATGCCTTAGGCAAGTTTTCCAAGGCATTACCAGAGAGACTATAAATATTTTTTAGAATGCTCAGTGAAAGTTGGTCAATATTAGGGGTTAAGATATATTTGCTGAATACTGCTATCATTAAAAACTACTTGTAGGCCTTAAAGATAGAATACCCAGTGTAACCAAATCCTCCAGTGAAAGAGCTTAGTTTGGTAATTCTAATTTGAGCATGTTTAAGGTACTGTGTTCGCTGAGACTAAGATTAAATCAGTATGTGTGGATTATAACGAGAATTTGAAGTGTACGTCTTAGTTAAAAGCAGTTTCTTCTGGCTATGTTAATCCCACTTTGCAATTTACATAGCTCTGCATGTTGGTTTGAATCAAAGCTAGTCTTGTGTATGTTGTTTCCGTAATGCAACATCTAATTAAGAAATCCACCTACGCCTTTCCCAGTAATAAGGTTGAAAAATAAGCATTTCATTTGCACAAATACTGAAAATAGGAAAGTGAAATTTTTGCATTTTATCTTGTACTTGAAGATTTAAACAAAAAGTTGTGAAATGAACAAAGTGTTTGCATTGCATTCAGTTAGAATTAAGAATAAAGCCTGTTCTTTTTGATGAGTTGCAGACAATATAATAAAAGCCAATGAGAAACTTGGAAACACCAGTATAAAACAGTGCCAATGCTACTTAAAATTATGTGAAAATGCGTATGTACTCTGTAAGAATAAAGGGAGTAAATTAGCCAATTGTTTAAATGAATAGTCAGAATTATTTGCAATATTTCAGAATCCAAAAAACTGATTTTGAAGTAATTCCTTTCTTCCTTAGTGTGTTACTTATAGTGCTGTTTTCTTTTTAACAGGTAATATGAAGATACTAAAGGTAGAAACTGGAGCTAAAAATATTCAGAGAATTCAAGATGTGATTTTTTTTAACATGATAAATTGATGCCATCTGATTAGTTATAAGTTGATTACAGTTATGAATCCAGGACAAGTTTCTTTTGCTGCATGTAGACTGTCATCTTTTAAACATGCTTAATGAAGTACCTTTTACTGGTGTCATAAATGTAAATCTTGACTCAGGTTTTTATTTATAAAATGTTCTAATTATGACAACTATTTTTCTAACGCAGTAAATCTATGATAGTATCATTAACTGTCAAATAAACTCAGGAGGCAGTTACTGTCACTCTCACTTTACAAGTGAGAAAACAGACCTGTACAAGAGCTAGTGCCTTGCTCAAAAGCAGCTAAGCACAGCTTTGCAGCTAACAGTTCAGGTGTGAGCTAGGTTGCTTAAGTTAATGTAACTTCTACTTTTGTGTTGGTTTATCTAAAATAAATTTTAAGACCTTTCAAGTAAATGCCAATGTAGTTTTCAAATGATACTTGACTCTTTATTCAATTTTTAAGTTTGCGAATTTCTCTAATTGTAGCCCCTTATTAGTATTTTTTTCAGCCTTCCATGGACTCAGACAGCGTTTGAGTCACCTGACACTGACTGATATTCCCAGTTTCAGTTAAATTGCCTTATTTCAGCTCTTCAACTGTCCATGGGTGTGTCTTTTTCAGTTTACATTTTCCCATTTATGTTTGCTGTTTAAAATGGCCCGCTTGCAACATGCCTAAGTCCTGTGTCCTAGGTAAAAAAAGATTGCTGTGAGGCATCTTCCGAAAGCGTTCAGTAAGCACCAGTCAAGCAATAGTTACAGATTTATCAGAGAATCAGTAGGCCCTAAAACATAAGATTAGGCTGCTTCCAGCAGTGGCAAAAACTGTCATTTCAAAAAGTATTTTGACTAGAAAACGTCTTTCCCCAAAGCTAATAGGCAGAAGAGTTGGTGCCCACTTTCAGGGTAAGGGAAATCAGGGGTTGTGTCATTATTTGAAGTGTGTGCAGGCACTCCTGCTGTGTTACACAGGCTTGGGACCTTTTTTTTTTATGCATACGAGTTGGGGTGTAGGCCAGAGGTTGGGGGGATGTGGGAAGCTGGCTGTGAGATTATTCACCACAGTGAATAAAACAGGAACATAACAGGAAGGACTGACTGAAACACACTGCTGAGGGGACAGAGAGGTCTGCTGACCATGTGGATTAGCTCCCTGGCCAGGGGATTGAATTTATGCTGCAGTAGCTGGCAATAGCTTCATAGTGCTGAGACTTAACTCCTTTTGCCAACAAGGAGGCCCTGGGCCCTTTTTCTTTTAAGCGAATAGATTTATAAAATGTTCACTTTCATTAAGATTGAAAACTTGTAAATCTAGTAGTACTATTTTCCCACTATTAGAAGACTGGAAATTGTACTTATCTAAAAAACCATTGTTTAACTTCTGCTAGGAATTGGATCAGAAGGTAGTTATGAAGTTCAAGTTAAAAAAAGGGGAGAGAACAGTTTATAAAAAAGAACTTTATTGTAAGGCACTGTTGACAAAGTTAAATGTGGGGGTAAGAGCCCACCCTTTGCCATCTTGCTCTTGTTTCCAGAACAGGCCATGTGCCCCAGCATGGGCAGGAGGGTATACAGATCCCACTCAGCAGTTTTACATGGCACTTCCTCAGTGGTAATGTTACCTCCCAAAGCACTGACTGATTTTTCCCTCAACAAATAACTATTTCATCCTACTAACAAAAGAACTAATGAACATTGCAAGAGGGAAAAAAAACTCAAAACTACACAAGCTATTTTAAAGCCTTGGGGAATGTTTCTAACAAGTTCCCATGTTTAAGAGGTCCAGAAAATGCATTTATTACCTATAAAGTCCCCATGACAAGAAAGGATAAAGTTACAAGCATAACCTTGGTTCAAAGTATGCTTAATAAGAGCTAAGCACATAAAGGTCCAAGGATCAAATTCCTGTTTACCATTTAATTCAAAAAACACTTTTATCTCAAGAGCAGTACACATTCTTAAGAATGTTTCATTTACTCATTAAGTACCTTAGCATTGGAGACTCAGGGAAACTGGATTCCTAACTTGTCAAAAGCCTGTAACAAAAATAGGTGCTTTGTTCTTCAGTGTTAACAACCTCATCTACTTTTCTATAGTTATCTGAGTGTGTGAATGGTTCCTCCTATGAACAGTCTGTGAGACATTAAAAGACATCTTTTCTTAGTTTATAACCAAAAATTCATCTAAAGGGAAAAGTCATCCAGGAAAGCAAAACTGTGCTCTAAGGAAGTAAGTGTTGTTTATGTGCATTAGACTACTCAAGAACTGTAAAAACTAATCACACAGTACAGTTGAACAGTGAATGGGGGTGTCCTGCTGAGGTATCACTTTGACATTTTGGTCTCAGAAGGTGTTTCTCCAGTATCTAATGTCTTCAACAACCTGAAAAGGCCAGCAGCTTCTCGTATCCTACTAAATTCAATACAGAATGCCTGCACTTCTATAAACAAGTCCTGCACATTAATAATTTTGTTCCGGATCAAGGATTGGAGAAAGACGCACACAAGCCGTACCAAACGATTCTGGAAAAGAAAGGACAAATTTTACTATGTCTATTATCTTGACAGGTATTTATAGTATTTTCAAAAATTTTTCTTACCTGCATATATTTATCCTTAATTTGCTCACAAGTAGAGATGCAATTTGATATATAAAGGTGAATGAATTCAGGAGGTAGATCAACAGCTGTAGTTAGTCTGTTGCATAAAATTGGAAAGTTAGGGCTGTTAATTTTATCTGCAAACATTAAAAAAATACTGTCAATAAAATAGAAAATTTCCTTTGGTCCGCCTGGTGAAAATTTCTGATGGGTGGACCCAGTTGCCTTAATTTTAAGTACACTTTTCCAAATAAAATACCTCTGCCTAATAAATGACACTCCATTTTTAAGTTTATACTAAGCATTATAATTACTCATCAAGTAAGTTTTTTGAGAACCATGTACCTATGCTCTTGGTTAAGCCATAATTTATAGTTACTACCTTCCAAGTGCTAATAACCCTGGCAAATTTTCTATTCATTTAAATCACATTCACTAAATCCTTATTAATACAAGTACTATGCATGGCAGTGTTTCTAAGAGGGAAGTATAAATTCAGTAACTAAACTGCACAGTTGCCATAAAAAGCAAAGGGGAAAAAAGCCTTAAAAGGACCAGTGACTTAAACTAAAGTCTTAGCAGAGAAGCCTTCCTTGTTTATAACAGAGCATTCTGTAAAATCTTGGAGTCAGGGACTAGCATAGCATATTCAGGAGCACAGCAGGAAAGACCTAATGGAATGTAACAAAAGGCAGAGTAGCATAGTCTTCAGGAAATTTCTAAAGGTATTTTTTAAAGGAGTCTGTGGAATGTTCCAGGGACCAGAAAGAAAGGTCAGCTAGGAGCAGGAATTCATGCTAGCTATATGACATTTTCTTTGCTGTGATAATGTTATAAAGTATGAACAGTATAAACTTAGTACACTGTGGAACTTTTCACACAAAGCACCAAGGACTTAGTGCCACCGGAAAACATCTGAGATAGGTAGCTATTAGGCACCTGAGATTCCTGAGTGCCAACAAGTTTGCTTCACATTGTGTTTGGGGGTTGGGAGGCAGTGAAGGAGGTATTCAAAAGCAGGACCTTGTCCTTGAAATTCCTCTCTAGGATACTGATAAAACAGCAGCTTTTCTTGTGCCAAAAGTAGTGAAAAGGAAGCAGCACTCAGAGCTCAGCCCAATGAAAAGAACTTGAACAAAATGCAGCCTTAAAAGGTAAGTCAACAAGTAGGCAGAAACAGTAGCATGTTAACAAGTAGCTAACCAGTTTTGCCAGTGGCAGAAAATGAAAACCTCATATTTTCCTCCTCCTATCCCTGGAAAAGAACACATTGTCCCATGCACACATTTTCTATCACTCAGATTCCTGACAGACTTTTTCCTCCATTAATTTAAAAGGGCATACTTTTCATAGTGTGCAATTTCAGGTAGATTCAAAAAAAGTCACCCCAATTTGCAAATAAATACTCAAATAATGTGCTCGATTGAAGTTTTAGTTGCCTGTTACTGGGAGTGAACATTCTTATGTAAGAATTGTGTAATGTGTCATCCCAAACACCACCATTTGAAAGGAAACCCAGGAGAAGAAGCCTAAATTGGGACTATGGCAAACAGCCACCCTGTGTATAAGCAACTGGGTAAAATAGCACTTATTCTTAATTTACTAAAAACATTTGTATGGAAAACAGTAAAATGTGAAAACACTACAGAGAACACATCAAGAAGGAATGTATTCCTGGCAGTGACAGAAGAATAAGGAGACAAAGTTTGGAAGAATAATCTTAGAATTCTCTTAGCTCCGAAGACCCATAGTTATCTACAGTACAATAGTTATAACTGTGATTTAATATCTATATGTACAAGGGCAAAGAATACACAGGTATTACCAGGAAATTTCAGCATTTACATTCATTTGTGCTTTTATTAATTAGTAAAAAGTGTAAGATCCTACCCTCAATTACTGCTACATGCTAAGTTTACATTTAGTGAATACTAGCTTATTTAATCGGTTGTTCTCAGGCTAATTTGTTGCTAGTTTTCTCCTCTGACCACTTAATCAGTATCTAAACACCCATCCACACCCCTACCCCAAAATTTGATTGTCTATAGAGTATAGAAACTTACCTATTTACAACTTCCATCGAATGCAAAGACATGTCCATATTGACCAGGACAGAAAAATACTCAGTAATCTGGCTGGACTGCATTAGCTTCAGCAACATTTCTATGGCAACTAGAGGGTTGTTTTCCACTAAGTCAGGAAGTTTGGCTGGAGTGAGGCCAATATGATAAACAAGCTTGGGGTCTTTTTCCAGTTCACCAAGAAGCTTAAAATACAATCAAATTTTGAGAAAGAGAGAGGTTCTTGAGTCAAATTAGAAATTCTCTTTATTGCATACAATACTTTGTTTACTCTGATCACATCTTGATGTTTTTAGGTTAGTATTTGAACTTTCAAAATAAAAAATGCAAACATTTTCAAGACAGTTTGTAAGTATGTGACTCCTCCTAGACTATAAACCAGACTCAATACTGTCTGACTGGAAATATCTGGACTTTAATGTTATCTCTAAGTCCTTTATAGATACTTCTCCCTATTATTACAAATGTAAATGATGTGAGCTACCAGCTAGGTCTCCCAAAAAACAAACCCACAAATTGAGGACTATCAGAACAATATACCCATAGGAAGAACAGACATTTCCTGAGTAGGGGACTAAGATTGAGGAGGGAGATGTGACCTGTTACAAATGGTCAGTGTGCACTATTTTTCAGTTCGTCACATTTATGCTTGTAATTCAAATAAGCATATCCCAAACACAATTTTAAGTACTTTTTCTCTTAATTGCTACTTTATTTATCTACTGGTATGCACCACAGTGAACCTGGCTACAGGATGGGTAATGGACCCATATATGAGCATCATAGATAACATGTGGTACACTGGAGATGTCATATCTTGTCAACAAGTTTTAAGCATGCGAATTAAATAAAATTCACCAACCAGAAACTACCATTGGGGAGTCCTTGCCTTGCCCCAAAGAGTCCTGTAGCTGTGCTTCAAGGACTAGCTACACATAGAGTATAGAAGATAGTAAAGTATAAGCTATATTATTGCATATAGAGTCTCAAATCCACTAACCAGCTGTTTAACAAAGGCTAGTGGGGCACCATGTTAATTTTACTTATCCTCAGTAGTTTGCCTATTTTAATGTAGCAATTTTTGTAAAGTGCTTAGAAACCCCTTGTTATTAAACAGTGCCAAGAAAGTGAGACCCAATCTCTCAGTCTGAAACTTGCAACTGCTGGCTTAATGCTGACACTTTTATCATTTTATTAGTCATTTATCACTTTATGAAAAAGTTGATGGATTAAAGAAAATGTTTACCAATAAATATATACCTGTGTTTGTTGAGGAGAAGATAAAGGACTTTTAAAGGCTTTAGCCATTATTCGCTTGATCTCTACACCGGTGCTATTCTTAACACACATTGACTTATCCCATTGAATAGCATGGTCAGGCTCTGTCGGGTTTAGCCAAGCCAGCTCATCCTCACATATGTGGAGTGGGGGTGGTGGACGAATAAATTCTGGCCGAAAATGGCCTGTAATGAGAGTAGTAATATTTGACTGCTTCTATAAGTAAACTAACACCTAAACATACCTGCATGCATCTCTTACACACGCTACTTAGTAAGTACTCTTAACCCTTAGTAAAGTATCATACAAAATGTTCAGATTCAAAATCAGAACAGAAACGATAGTCAGTTTTGCAAATATTAAAAAAAAAAATGAAACACTGACATGACCTGATTATGCCAGAAGCCAAATCGAGTAATTTTTGGAGAGAAGCAGAAGAGCATTAGCACCATCTGACAACTTTAATTCAAGCATGAACACTCAAATGCAAAAATAACTACATTGCTTGGTACAAGCAATTTCACTGGAGAAATACAATTCTACTTGATTTCACTCATTCTATTAGTTACTACTATTTTGTTCAGAGACCACTATGATTTATCTTTGAATCTTATAACCTTGAAGTGGCATATTACATGCAGATAAAAAGGCAGGGGGGAAAGTATGAATGACATTTCTCAAATCTGAGAAACTTTCCTAAATCTCTAACATCACAAATGACATCTTCATTTTCATAAAGTATACAGTATAACAGGAAAATTAAGTGACTAACTACCTCAACTCATAAAACAAGACTGATCTTTAAATTGTAAACCCACTAAAATGCTGCCTTGACAGCTGCTAAATAAATTTCAGATTTCACTTAGTTTTCACATAAAGGCTAAGAAGGCTTATGCCTATCATAGAATTTAAATTTAGCCCCTGTTAAATTTGAAGTTAAGTTCTAGTTTATAGGCTAAGAATCATCACTTTATCTTAAACTACACCATTTCTTCACATAGATCATCAGAATTAGCATCTGAATCTCTCTTCAGACAATGTGCTACTTATATGATAGAAAGTTCCATGAGGTAGGGATACCCAGCATTTAGCTAGGCTCCTAGCTGATTAGCTTTTCACATGCCATTCTGGTGGCCCATGCAAGTAAAAGTTCTGTCTAAGCCTGTTATATGCCATAGACCTTCAGACATTTATGACTAAATGAGACTTCAAGTATTAAACCCATTTTTATCAAAGATCTACTGTAAATCACAAAAAAAAAAAAGCCAGTAGAGGTATCAAACTCAGAGACACTATAAAGAACATGTTCTTTCTCCCTAAGCAGAAAAATATAGGCCTACATGGTTAAAACCATGTAAAAGCTTAGGTAACCCAAAGATCTAGCTATATTACCAAATTCCTAAGATAGTTCTTTGTAGTGAAGTTGAGATCAGTTAAAACTTTTACAGTGCTGAGGCAGTAGTGGTAATAAGAGGTAATGAAAAATAAAAAGTAATAAGTCAGTAAAATTAGATGATAAGTATATATAATAACCCTTTTGTGTGTTTTTTTAAAAAACAACTCTTGCAGAACATCTCTACTGTGTTGGAGGCACTATATTAGAAAGTTGCTCATTAAATTCAAAATTAATCAGTAATGAAACATTTCAGGAAACCAGAAAATCTCAGAATGCTGACAAATGTGTAAAATTACATATACATACTTTCAATGGGTGGTTTTGGTCCACTGACTAAAGCTTCTGTGATCTGAGAGGCAACTGAGCTGTCAAATCCAGAATTAGAAGAGTCCGGGTCTGGATCACTGAGAATACTAGGGAAACTAGCCTTACTTTGAGTTGGCAGTTCAGACTGACGTTCTGAAAAAGGTTAGAATAGGAGATATCTTTAGGCTGAAGGCACAATGAAGAGAGTGAAAGAACAAGTTACTAACTTGGGAAAGCTATACGCCACACAAATTACGTAAAGGGTCAGATTCTGATTTTATTTCCTTCAAAACACCTACAAATGATTTTTTTAAAAAGAACCAAAGGGGAGAAAGTAGGCTAAGTATATCAACAAACATTAAAAATAAAAGAAAACTTCACTAGCTAATAACCACATATAAAGATGTTTAACCCCATTAGAAACCAAGATGTTTAACCCCATTAGAAATCAGGGAAAGGTAAGTTACAACACAAATGCAGAGGGTGGCGGTGACACACAGCTGTTGAGAATGAACTATTACCCAGAGAAGTTTCACATGTGCTTATCTGTCTAGAAAGACACTTTAACCAGTACACTTGGAGAGTGTACAAGAATATTCATAGCAACATTAAGTTCATCAATAGTAAAAATGGACAGGGCTTTCCTGGTGGCACAAGGGATTAAGTCTCAGCACTAAGAAGCTATGTGCAGCAATGGCTGCGCAAGTGCCATCCCTGGCCAGGGAGGTGACCCACATAGTGCAGACCTCTCGTCACACACTGCTCTCTTCAGCAGTAGAACCTCCTGCACCCTACTGTCTAGTGAATCCTCTCACCACCACCCCCTCATACCTCTGGCCTACATCTCAGCTCTTATATCATAAATAAATAAAATCTTTTTTAAAAAAAGCCTTATAGGAACACTGTAATCAAAACAGTGTAGCAGACAAATGTGTATATAGGCCAGTAGTGTATAAACCAATGATAAGGAATGAGAGCCCAGAAACAAACCTTCCTATATATGGCTAAATGATTTCCAACAAGGATGCGAATGGAATATTACTTTGGTTATTCAGAGTCCCTTAGGATTCCATGAGTTTTATGATGGGTTTTTCTATTTCTTGAAAACATACTGTTGGGATATTGATAGAAATTACGTTGAATCTATAGATCCCTTTGAGTAGAGTGAGACCAGGAATTCTTTTAACAGATTAGTGTACCTAGTGTTCTTAAATTGAAAAAGCAATCAATTCATGTACAACTCAAAATGAACTTTTAACCACAGCAGCAAGGATCCAACAGGTTAATTTTTCATAGTCAATAATAACATTTTAACACAGTGACAAATACTTTCATTCTAAGTGGAGTAGGTCAAGAAAAATGATCTACCACTCAAAAATGTCAAAGCACCAGTTCCTCCTTACCAGCTAAGGCTAGCTGAAGCCCACTGATGTCCACAGACTGGCCCATGTTTCCAACATCCATCAACGCAATCTGTCGAGGTGTCTTTTTGAAGAGCTCTCTTGGGGGTGCCAGCATCAGCTGGGAAAGAAAAAACTTTTCTGGTGGCGTTATAGGAGGTAAAAACCCTGTAAACAAAAATGTATAACAATTTCTCTAATGGCCACTTTTAGAAGTTAACTTGAATCTGGTAAAATGAGCATTTGCTAAGCCATCTCAACAAACATATTTTTGAAGAAGAAATTATAACTGTTTCAGTTAACAGAATATACACATTTGATTAAATGGCTTTGTTGTTTGGAGACATCAATGAAATGTAAGGTGTTCTCACTACTGTTTTTCTAACATGCCTTTACCCCTGCAAAGACTAAAGCTTACCTCCACAAACAAAAATTGTAGCACTCAGAAATGCTTTTCTTTCTTCTCTGCTTCTACCAGCAACCATGTAGAAGTGGGACAGACAAACAATCACCAGCAAGGAAATACATCTCACACATCTACTCCAGTGCAGTTACAAAATTCCCACAGTGCTGAATATGTCTTCCTTTCTGTCCCTTACATGGTTGTTCACCAGGCCTCATGCATCTCACCACTGCAGTGCTGCCAGACTCCATTCCCTCATTTTCATTCTCACACCCTACCTCTGGCCGGACTACAGGACATAGCCTGCCTGATTTCCTGAGATCTGTTTTGATTGCAGCCTGCCCACTAAAATAGTCCACATGCCCACCTGCCGTTTGGTTACATTTCTATGTACAAATCTGCTCATATTACTCAACCCGTTTACACAGGTATTAAACCCAAACTTCTGCACTGTTACAGACCCCTCATAATCTAGTCCTGAGGCACTTTCTTAATCTCAATTTTTGAACTCCCCTCCAATTCATGTTTCTATATTCTACTGCATGAAATCTCTGCTTTATTATTGTTTTATACATCACTCTTTATTTTTATACAACATATATGGTATCATCGTGGGTATAATCCCTGTGAAATTTCCACCACTGATTCACCCTGCACCATCACCACAGTCCCCTGTGCTCTTCCCATCCCTGGTCTGATCTTACTCCGTCCTCCCCACCTGCAGAGTGTCTCTGATTTATAACTGCCTGTTGATTTTGGTTTTTCCTTTATTATAATTACTTTATCCCCCTAATCCCTTATTTGGATCCCCTGCATTCCTCACATAAGTGAAATCATGTGGTATTTTTCTTTTTCTTTCTGGTCTCTTCCAGTTCCATCCATGTTTCTGTGAATGACATGAGTTTTATCTTTTTGATTGCTGAGTAATATTCTATTGTGTATGTACACATCATCTTGATCCAGTCATCTATTTTTGGGCATCTGGATTGTTTCCATAGCTTCACTGTTGTAAATACTGCTGTGATAAAAATAGGGCTGCAGGCATCCTTTTGAACTAATCCTCTTGTGTCCTGATCTCACAACATCCAATATACCCAGTTCTTTAAGACTACTAGACAGGTCCTGGTGTTCCCTCCCCAACTCATCTCTATCAATATCTCTCAAAAATATCACTCCCTTTGGGAATGTCTTCAGCTACAGAGGTAGTTTCTCTGTCCTACTAAGGATTTTATGTGAGGTATTGTGCCATACCTGGTATCTCGTACATGTGTTATGACCATGTTTAAGTCTCCCCCAGTAGACTCCAAGTTTCTTGAATGCAGGAAGTCATCTTCCAAACACTTGTTCAACCCTGACTCTGCATCAGAATCATCTGAAAAACTTTTACACACATACAATACTCACTCTACACATACAGTTTTGTACGTGTTGGCAGAGACACTCCCTCTGCCTCTTACTGAAACAATAAAAGTAACCATGATAAAGGCTAGCACTTATCCCAGATGCTTAGACTCATAGTAACTCTACCACCTGGGAATTATATACATTTTACAGATGAAACTGGGACACAGATAGGTAAAATAAGCAATTCATGAATTTCATTCCTGACAAGACTCCTAAATTTGAGAATGGCAAAGCCCTCTGCCTGACCTATCCTTCAGAATTCAAAGAGCCTTCTGATCTAACTCCTACACTGACCACCTCTCCCAAAGGTACTCGTACTCTAGGGTGATGGATTTTTACATGTTGCACTTTGTGGGCATTTTTGAAAGCCAAGCTCAGTACCTGACACTAAGAGTAGCTCATCTAACACAAAGGTTGCCCCTCGTAGATAAGAGCAGTATAGAGGAAACAATCAGAAGATGTCATACATACAAAGCTGATGCCAAGCAGAACAATAAATAGCTTGAAATATAAGTTCTGTGCTACCAAAAGCTCTTAATCATCTCAGAACTTGCTGCCTTAAACTAACCTTTGATTCTGAGTAGTGAATTTCCCCTACCTAGTAATTTGCTTACCACCATTAAAAGGACTGTAAGATCAAGCTGTTTCACACTTCCATCTCCTCCCCCTAATTACACTGGTCTTTGTTAAGTCTACAAAGTACCCTATCACTCATCATCATCCCTGTGCTCTTCACTCAAGATTTCTCCCAAAGCCACAATGCTTCATAAAGCATTTCTTACTTGAATTACAAAACTAATAATAAAAGTATAGCATATCCTCTTAGTTAACCAGAGATCTGCTCTCACCAATGCTGCACAATTACACACTTCACAAAATGACTAGGATTTCTAGGTTTTCTAAACTAGATCTTAATTTGAGACTACCTCCTATTCTTTCCCACCTCCCCAATCACATTACCTAAGGGCACCTAACCGACCAACGAAAGTGTCTGCAAAACTTTGCATGCTGTCTATTGTGCATTTCCCCCCAACAACTCACTGGGGTTCAGAAGAATGACTTCCAGTTATTCGCTTAAGACTTAAAACCAGGGCCAGATCTAAGGAGTCATTAGTTACATGTAGCTTCACACACTTCACAACGGCTTTACAAAAATAAACCCTATTCTGAGGTACTGAAAATGCCGAGTCCCACACTGAGGTCAAGAATTTGAAGCCCTGTACAGGTGAGGAACAACTTTGGGTGCCATGAATTTGAAATCAGCTACCACTTCACCATAGTTCAGTGAGTGGCAGAGATGATTAAAAGGAGACTCATTTTCATTGGCGCGAGAATCTATCCACAGTGCACCTGGGGTTTTGGGAGAGACGGGCGGCCCGTCCCGGAAGCGGCGCGCCCCGCCGCGTACCTGAGAGCGGTGGCCGGTCGGGTTCCTGGCCGCCGCGGGCGGGTGGCGCGGGGTTCAGCAGGTGAGCGAAGCTGGCGGCGAAGGGGTTGGCGGCGAGCGGCTCGGTGCGGTACATCTCCCAGAGCAGGTAGAGCGCCGTGAGGCGCTGCGCCGCGCTGGGCAGCAGGTCCGGCTGCTGCAGCAGCATGACCAGCACCGAGCCCAAGCGGAAGTGGTCGGCCTTGCTGAAGTAGTGGTGGAAGGCGGTGGACAGGCCCTCGAAGGTGCTGCCGCCTCCCGCCTCCTCCGAGATGATGCTCAGCAGGCTCGAGAGCTCCTTCGGGGTCAAGCTCATCCTGCCCGCGGGGCCCCCCGGGCCTCCACTTCCCGGCCCGGGGCCGCCTGCTCCGCTTCTGCCTCCGCCGCCGGAGCCCCCGGAGCCGCTCCTGGATGCCGACCCCGCCGCTTCCCGAGACCCCCTCTGCTCCGCGGCGGTGAGAAGCCGGCCAGACGCCGCGCTCGCCCCGCCGCCGGGCATCAACCTCTCTCGCTTGCCCTGCTTCCCGGCCCGAGTGGCCCTGGCGCCGGCTCGCTCCGTCCCCGCGGCCGTAAAGCGCGCGGTCACACGACAGCGTCGCAAACCAGACCCGACTCGGAAAGCAGACAGGAGCGCGCGGCGACGGCAAGCTGGGTGGCGCGCGGCCAGCGACAGGCGCGGAAGGTTCAGAGTAGGCGGGTGATACGGCCGGAAATGGGGCGGGGCCTCCGGAAGGGGCGGGGCGCCGGCGGGTTGCAGTCTTGCTGGGGATGGTCGCGGGCCCGGCAACCCGGGGCTGGGAAGGGGGTTGAGCTAAGCAAAGAAAAACGGACCTTTATATCGGCCACTCAGGGCTGTGTCTGGCATCACTTGGTCCAGTAAGTGTGGTCTACATTATCGTCTGGAAAAAACTGCATCTTGGATTCCAAATAACTTAATGTAAAATGCATGACTATTCGCGGTTAAAAAAAAGTTGAAGTGAGATCACACACTTCTCGTAATCAGTATTAATTTCTCGTCTTACACTCCTTTTTGCAGAAGTGGAATCATATAGCACGTGAGCTTTTGTAACAGGATTATTTTAATAAGATAACTAGGAGAATGCTTTCCGTTAATACAAAATTGTGCAACTTTTTATTTAGCCTGCCCTAAGGTGCTGATTCTGAGCTTGGCCAGATTAGAAAGGAGGGAAGGGAGCCTTTATAAATAGTAGTGGTTGGCCCCACACCAGAGATAAAGACCCTGATGTTTAAATACACAGAAAAACACCTCCCCTGAGAACAAATGTATGTGCCCAAGGACTGAGAACGCTGAAACTGGTCTGGCCTCTCCCTAGGCCTGCAGGGACCCACAGGGGTTTCACCAGCCATCCCCACCTAATGTTTGGGAAATCTCCACCTCACCATGATGGCGGCTCAAGAATTATCCCCAACTTAATTCTATAATAAAATTTAAGGGACAAATCGCTGAAATGCCAGTATGCATTCTCTGAAGGCTTCTCGAATTTATAGCTAGGTCGTCTTTTAGGAAGGTCTTGCTAATTGTTAAAAAAAAAATTTTTTTTTTTTTGAAGAAAATAATGAATACCTCAAGGTGAAGAGACTTGTGCTACACCCAAGACTTAACTGCAGTTACAACCTCCTCAGAAAGCAGTCGGTGTGATCTTTTCTGGTGGCAACAGTGAAGTAATCCTTTACATCCTCTCAGGGAAGATGACATAACCTGCCACATAAAACCCCTTTTCATTCCCCCATAGGTAGGTTACCTAAACCTGAAGTAATCTTTTTGTTTGTGACTTCCTTAAATTGCCTTTAAAAGGTTTTCCATGCATACTTTAGTGTTTTTCTACTAACTAAAGGAGATGCTGCCCAACTTTTTGAATTTTTTAATAAAGACCATTAGGTCTTTTAATGTATTTGACTGAATTTTTGTTACATAACAGCAGATGTTGTCATGCTTTCATCCATCACTCTTTTCTGGGCAATAAAGCAAGGGATTTCCCTTTCAAAGTAACCTAAATTGCACTATTCAGTTGCTAAGGCTGCCATAACAAAATATTGAGTAAATATTGAGTAGCCTAAACAATGGAAATCTTTGCTCAGTTATGGAGGCTGGAGGTCTGAAGTCAAAATGTGAGCAGTGTCAGTTTCTTCTGAGACCACTGTTCTTGGCTTGTAGGGAATCATTGATTTTCTCTTTGTATCTTCACATGGTCTTCTCTACTTTGACCTGTATTCTAATGTCCTTATAAGGACATCAAAAATAATCTTTCCCTGGTGGCGCAATGGGTAAAAGCACTGTATTATGAAGCTCTCCAAAGCCACTCTAGCACGAGTTTGATCCCTGGCCAGGGAATTGACCCACATGGCATGGCAGGCCTCTCTTGACCTGCCTGCTGCTACTCTAAGCAGTGTACTTTGTCGATCTGCCAGTTCTGCTCCCTACTGTGTCTCTGGTGAACGGCATTTCTGGCCTATACCCCAGTTCTGTATGCATAAATAAATAAATCTTTTTTTTTTAAAGATTTATTTATTTATGCATACAGAACTGGGGTACAGGCCAGAGATGCGGAGGGTGAGAGGCTTCACCAGAGACAGAGTGGGGAGCAGAACAGGCAGATCGACGAAGTACACTGCTGAGGGGAGCAGCGGGCGGGTCAGGAGAGGTCTGCCACGCCATGTGGTCACCTCCGGGGCAGGCGGGAGTCGAACTCATGTGGAAGCCGTCTTAGATTCTTAGTGCTGTGCTTTAACCCACTGCGCCACCAGGGAGGGCCTAACTCGGTTGATTTTTAAAGACCCTATATAATTCAGCCCAATTCTAACAAGAGTTAGAACTCAACAGTGGAATTTGGGCAAGGGTAGAGGGTACCACCATTCCCCCTATAATAGGGTGAGTAGTGGCATTGGTATGAGGTAAGGAATGTTTCATTGTCTCTCAACTGGTGCAAGAATCCCAGGAAGCTCAAAACATAAGGAAGAAAAGTGAACAGGCAGCCAGAGACAAAACCACACAAAGAGAAGAAACAAGGTAAGGACTGAGGTAGTGATCTGAGGCGGTGATTGGAAGTGATAACCACCACAAGTTCAGGAATACCTGGTGCCCTCAGAAGCTCAAAGAGGGTAGGAGAGTCTCCCCCAAATCTCTATCCAAAACTATGATAGAATAAGTTTCTAGGTGTTTTATGTTAAGCCATTCCATTTGTGGTACAATGAATGTACATTGTGTGAATACAAAGAATTTATTTGCCCATTCCATTATCGCTGGACACTTAGGCCATTTCCAGTTTGGGGCTATAGTGAGAGAACAGCTATGAGCATTCAAGTAATCTCGTTTTGTAGATATAAGTACTGATGGTTCTTGGCTTTATACCTAGTGTAGCTGGATCACCTACATTTTGGGGGAAAAAAACAACCCGCCCACTAAGTTAAAGGTTTAGGAATAGGGCCCTCCCTGGTGGCACAGTGGGTTGGAGCATTGCACTGTGAAGCTAAGCGGAGCTGTGGCGGCCTCAGTGCGAGTTTGATCCCTGCTCCGGCAGTGACCCTCATGGCACAGCAGACCTCTCCTGCTCCTCCTCAGCAGTGTACTTCCTTGATTGCCTGTTCTGCTCCCCTTTCTGTTTCTGATGAATCCTCTAGCCACCCCTGCCCCTCTGGCTGTACCCCAGTTCTGTATGCATAAATACATCTTTTTTTAAAAGTTTAGGAATAAGCAGAATTAAACTGTTAACCCACTGAACTGCATTCCTTCTTTACAATTAACTGTTATTTGACTGAACTGCATTCCCCTCTTCTCTCCTTAGGATTTACACATTAACTTGTTCCAACTGCATTTCTGGAAGATTTGGAAAAGCTCTGTTTTGTTTTCTTTTAATAACATTTTTAAAACAGATTTATTTATTTACGAATACAGAACTGGGGTACAGGCACCAGAGCTGCAGGGGAGGTGGGAGGATTCATCAGAGACAGAGCGGAGGTGGGGGTGGGGGGTGGGGGTGTGTGCAGAACAGGCAGATCAACCAAGTACACTGCTGAGGGGAGCAGCGGGCGGGTCAGGAGAGGTCTGCTGCGCCATGTGAGTCACCTCTGGGGTGGGGGATCGAACTCACACTGAAGCAGCTGCACTAGCTTGCAGTGCTACGTCCTAATCCGTTGCACCACCAGGCAGGGCCATGTTTTAAACCTAATAAAAATTCTTGGTGCCTCTCTTGAGTTGCAGTTACACCAGAAACAAACATTTGCTCATGGCTGAGGAGACACCCTCCTGGGAAAGCCAAACACCTTGCCTCATATTGCTTAGACGGCCCAGCACCTCCTTGGCCCTGGAAATGTGAAGCCCTGTGCTTCCCTCAAATTTCCTTTCCCCTTATAGAATCCCAGCACTTCTACCATTTGCAAAGCCGGTTTAAGGGTTGCCTGTCCCACCAGCTCTCTTGATGGCCATCTCAAATAAACTCCTTCATGTAAAGACAGTACTCATGATTCAGAGTCAGCTTTCTGTGTGAAAGGCCCTCTGTGGTCATTCACGCCAGGGGCAGAATTGCTGGTTTGTGGAGTATGGGCACTTTCAGCTTCAGTAAATTCTAAGTTTTCCACAGTGGTATATGAGTTTGTATTTTCCTCAGCAATATATATTATCACCGACTGTTATGTGGCATATGGATTTAGTCTTTGACCCCATTCCTGGCACAGAGCTCCCTGGAACTGAACCATACACCTGAGTTTTTGTTAAGGAGTAGACTTTTGAGAAGCCCGCAGATGGGCATTTTCTAACTGTGAACAGTATTAAACTGCCCTTTTCTCACTGATTTTTTTTTTTATATTATCTATGTCTGAAGCCTCCATCAGATATTAGTACTTTGAATATGTTTTTCCATTTTGTGGTTGTTTTTTACTTTTTTAATGAATTCCTCTAAGTTTCTGATTTGTTGTTGCCGCATTTGGTGTTTAAAAACCAGCCACTTCCAAGGGACCACATTAGTCCTGAATGTGGGGCCAGCAGTGATGAGCCTATGTGGCTGCTGACTCTGCAGCTGTGTACCTTAACCTCAGGGGAGATGAGAGGAGGGTGCCTATGCTGATGGCAAGTGTCTTTCCTGCTGTGTTTCCTTTGCTCACTGGAGTCTGCCAACATAGCTGACCTTCAGTGAGTCATGTTTCAGTGACTACCATAAACTGAGCCACAAAGTCCTTTGTTCCAATTTCCCCATCCAGATACAAGTGGAGCTCTTACACTTACAAGGAAGACGCTCAACATCTGTATACTCAAACATCAACCAGAGAGGGCCTACTAGGCTCCATTCCTTTCTATTCCATTGACTGGGAACCTGGACTTGACTTTGCCAACTCTCAAGTTTGGCTCTGGCTGATGGTTGCCTGTAGAACTGGTCAGTTTTCCCCCAAATGATTCTAGGTCAGTTTATTGACATTCCCAGTGCTAGAGCTATCACTGTGTCCTGTGATGCTAAAACAGTAGTGTTTTTGGCCAAAATTTTCAACTTTTAGTTTTAGAAGTAATGTCAGTATTTAGATACTTACAGATGAAGATGAGATGCTTTCAGATTCAATTTTTAC